CAAGTAATCTAACGTTCTCTGAACAAACTGGAAACAAAACACATAGGCTCCCAGGATGTATTTTGCTGTTGCTGTGAAACTAGGGTTTAGTATACAAAGTATGTGTTTGGTCTACTTTACAATGGTGTCTATTTATTCTTATTCTCCGACAGAATAACAAGCTTAAATTAAGGGGAGTGCAACGGCAATTTACTTTAAGAACTCTTGGATTAGAATGTAGTCTCGAGTACGCTGAGCATTGCGACAGGCTGGAAGTATAAACACCCGGAAGAGGACGTCTTAAGGTAAAGCTTATTTTCTACTAGAAACTAACTAATCTTCTCTTGCGCTCCCCGAGGTCAACAACCAATTCTTCCTCCGTGATCAGTTAAAATCTCAGAAATCATGAAGCGTTGCCAGACTTACACGCGGTACAACTTTTTCCCGGAATAAGTTCTCACTCATTGGGAAAAGATTACGAGCTAATGTGCGTGACACAAACACACTTTCACTATTCATCTTCTCAGTATTTAAGCTCCTCAAAGATGATAATGCTCTCCTGCGTCTGACTCCTACACCTTTTTCACAGCACGGAGACACACCTGGTCCAGTGAACTCTACTGTGAAATGTGAATACTTTTGGAAGGGCATGAAAAGCGTTTCCGTACAAGTCATGAACATTAGTTAGCATAACAGAAGAATTTACTGAGCATACCAACAGAAATCATGGTTTTTATGAAGTATATAAATATATGTAAATTTACAAATCACTGCTTGAAGACTGCTTGTGTTTATTTCTGCGCTGATATCATTGGTCTCCTTTCTCCATCACTATTTAATGTGTATTTGACTCATTGAATGATGATAAAGAATGTAGATTTTCGGCGATTTACAATAAAAATCTAACCCCAAATCTTACAGCTGCTTCGCAAAATACCATTTGCTTTCTTTTGCGACGCATCCTGGTTGAATGCTGGGGAATGTTACATTGATACCAATAAGTAAATCACGATCACATATACAGAACCGATAAACCTGGTAATCTAAGAAATCATGAACGTATGCTAATGGGTGCATTTATGATTGTGATAATTTCCAGCTCCTGCATGCTCTACTTGTCATTTTATATGCATTAGTTAGTCGTTATACTGGTTCCTACATTTGTATGGACTGAAAATTACTTGGTTCTATGAAAATAATTCCATGTACTTTTAACTGGGCATTTACTCCTGCGGTGAGGCGCCAGTAGTTCATATTATTGTCGGTAAACAAACTAACACTTTACATGGCGCTTTTATCGCTATCCGAATAACCTACCACACCTATTGTAATGAAAACGAAACCTACATAATAAACACTAAACTATACTTTACTTTCCTCCCTAGCAGGAAGATGCTAGGAAGTCATTTATCTGGACTAAGAGATACGACAACTGCAGGACCTAAACTTTAGCGAAGGCACCATAAGCTTAGACTGTAAGACTAGACTCCCAAACACTTGAAAGTGATTCTTGTGGAATTGACGTCTTCTGCACAGCTCACGTTCTGCTTTTATTATCTGTTTGACTCCCACTCTGCTTGTCACATTACCAACAGTACCGCAAACTTCATTATATTGTGTACGTCGCTTCTTCCTGTGCATCGGTGGCACAGTGGTTCGGACTCTCGCCGACCATGCACACGGTCCGGGGTTCGATCCCCTGCCGACGTACACCTGATATCTATGGTCGGCCTGCAAAATTTGGGCTACCGATATCCATGCTGAAAATTCCATACTTGTACCGAAAAATACGGTGCGGAGTCAAGCTGTAATAAAAAAATACAACCTCATAGGAATAATTCCATTACACTGCCTTCTATTTAACTTGTGTAACCTAATAGTTGTAAATATTCGTATTCCATGTATATAGTATTTATCATATTCCTGATTCCACTATACTGGTATCCCAAATCTACAGAAACAGACGATATATTATTACCAAATACTTAAATTTAAACTTCAGCGTTAAGCCTAGGGGTTATTTGAGGCAGAGGAATCAGGGGTAATATTTGTGTGAAGTGGCGGGGGTTATATTAGGGTTTTGGGTTTAGGGTAAAGACTATATTAGGAATACGAGATGTGACTAGGATCAAGAGCTTACCACTTAAATGTGCAGTCTATCAATGAACGCAATTGTATCACTTTTCCCATATTCGGATTGCTTTTCAAGGTCATGTGGTTGCTAGGGTTTATCATCCCTTGAAAAGCTTTCCTCCAACTTTGGGCGAAGTTCACTGTTCAAACCTAAAATTTATACAAGCTCATCAAAATGATTTTGTACATTAGACAAATCAGTTTTTTATCAACTTGAATGGTATGCAATACAACTTGTTTGCGCGGGTTGTTAGATCGTTACGTTAGATTTGTAGTTTGTTTGAGACATTACCTGCTGCAAACGGCAACCGTAAAGAATAAACGGCTTTAAAAAGTCATTCAGATTCTTCTGGGTGAAAATTGGTACTCAGTTTTCAAACAAGTGTATCTACAATATATATGTAATAAAAATGAATAATATAGGGTATATATCTTTAATATGCTGCAAAAACTGGCCCCAGATTCCCATAAAATTGATTATATACATAATAAACTAATGTATTCTCTATTTAAATGGATAATTCTCCGGCTGTAGAAGATACTGGTTGGATATACGCAATATATTACTCCGGGAGAGCTTCGATTTCGAGAAGAAATTGTTTAAAGAATCACCAATTATTTACGACTAACCATTTTATACAGACTTCCTCCTATAAAGTGGTTGCATCTGAATATATATAGACATCAATAGCCCAGCAATACTCTTTCAAAGTCACTATCCTTCCACATATGCATGTTTTATTCCTCCCCTCAGCCCATTTTCCACAGAGAAGTCAAAAACCAAATCTTGGAGACATTTTCAACCATTTGTAATGCCGAGCCATCTGATTGGCCGAATCAAGGGCACTTGACTTTGATGTCTGTTGATTATTCCCGCTTGCAAACATAGGATGTATGTCGTGCTATGAACCATCTGCACACATACTGAAGCATTACCCTTCCGAAGGACACGTCCGAATGACATAAACCACCGGTGTCTCAGCTTCACTCCGATTGTCAAATCTGCAGGCCGTGTGTTTAGTCCTTACATATTTCCGGCATAATAGCATAATTCCTGCAGGGAAAGGAAACAGTTGTATTGTAATCTATGCAGGTTTTTTTGTTGCAGATATATTCTGTTTTTCTCTGCATTTACTTGTCAGGTTGTTGTATTCAACTTTTGAATAAGACATTTGCATATACATGCGCGTATAAGTGAAAAGACAATAGTTTTCGTCAAGGTAAACAAAGGCTGACCTAGCTAACGGCCGACTAAATGAACGGTTTGCAGAAATATATACAACACTTCACCATCCTTCTGACTTTCTTGATCTGTGGTATAAAGTGCATGGTCTCTCGACAGGAGGATATCAGAGGCATTTGGAAAGCAGGATACCAGCAGTAAATAGGTTATGGTGTAATATGATATCTAGTCGGTGATTTGATGTACAGTAAGTGGTGTAGACTGACTCATAAAACTCTAATAGTAGACAGAAGGATACTTAAAAACACATAGAATATCGCCACTTTGTGTAATTATTTTATTTCACTTAATTTTTCTCTTGTAAGGCATAAGCGCAAAATTAGGAGAATGATTTAATGTTGTGGATGTAGGTGGTTGACGATGACCGTTGATTGCAAGGTGTTAGTAATCATCGCAGTGGTTTATCTATTGGAGAGTCAGTTTCTTCGTGTCTGCTTCCAGCATTTAACAGCAGTTGGCTAGAATAGAAATGGGAATACAGCAATTTGGCAACGGTTGTTTCTTAGACCGTGTCTCCAGTTATCCTGTTATTGGTTTCCGAAAGATTTTATCCTAAGTCTGTTTCCGCAATTAACTCACATCTCGAGGTGTTAACACATTTATTGTAACTTGAATGCTAGAGTTTTTTCCGTCTAGTTGCGTCGAAGTCGTCTTAGCTCGTATAAGGATGGTACAAAGTGAGATTGATTCGCCTAGCTGTAAACTGCGTATACGCACACACATACGATCTATTTCCAAATATACATAGGCTGAAACAAATTCACAATTTGTTTATATCAGTCATGACAAGTAATTTCATCCGCCACTTGTCGCCTAATGCGGCTAGTCATGCGTGTCGCTATTTTCGTCCTTCCCTTTTATCAGTACTGTCGTATTCGTTCTGGTCTGTATTGGGCTACTTTAAGTAAACTTTTGTCGCATCGATATCGTACTATTTCTTCCAAATGATACAAGGAACTTCTATCGTTGAACTGAAGCTATCATTATTATTTTGGAAAAAATTATATGTCAGCTTTACTACATAGCCCATAAAATCTTTTATTATTGTTCTACTGAGTAAGGTTATACTCATCTTATAGCTATATTTTGTCACCTTAGAGTAGTGGAAACCAGCGTAACAATAAGTTACACTTATCCAGATAATGATTTTAAGACGACAAAAGTTATTTTACGTAATGAATATATTCTTGCAGGCTTAAATTAATAATACTCGTATAAAGCAAATGATTATCATCAGTGGATATTGGAAAAAAGAATTGCCATATCACCAGATTATGTCAGCATGTAGTTTTTAGTGATTTTTACTGATTGACTGTTTTGAATTATGAAACTTTTTAGTTGAGGTTCTGACAAAGATTACTTTTAGGTGGTTATCAGTTGTGGTTGCTCTCACTACTCAGTGATATTCATTTTGTCTTAAGGTTATGACATGTATCAAGTTGAAAAAAGTTTGACTGAATAATGCACACTGATCACTTAGTTAAGTTGTTCCCTAATTGTTGTCGGTGGTGTAATAATGATAGGTGCGGTTTTTCCTTGCCACAAATGAATCCGTTTTATAGGGCCTCAGATCAACAAGGCATATAAAAGTATAGTGTATTCTCTTCTTTACTTTCAGCAGTGAATAGATATTTCATATTGGCAAATGCAAGTTACAAGAATTGTGTCAAAGCACCGGCTAAGGTATAGACAAGCACGTCTTCTCTTCCCATTGCTTCTTCCACTGTTGCTATACATCGGGACACTTCATTTGGTAACAACTGTTTCTGTTTTGGTGCTATTTCTGTTCGCTTGTTCGAATATCATTATCGCAATCGCCCCATCCAGTTGCTCATTAGAGAATGCTTCTATAAACCGCAAGCTTTGTGACAGGTTAGAGTTTCTAAGGTAGGTTGATTCAATATTTTACTATATATATATATATATATGCATGCATGCAAAATTATAAAGACAGGAAATGTTTTCCATACTTAACTCTACATTGGCTGCCTTACGATGCGAGGTTTTGATTTATATTTGAAGGAGCATATGTTCTGCATGCTTTTAATCACATTAAAACTTACATAAAACAGATTTCTCACGCTCGAGCCTATGAAGGCTAATGATGCTTCCCAGTTGTCCAGGCTGAAGTAGATTGAGCGAGATGCGGATCCGGGACCCACTGGCTGAGAGTAATGTATTTCAGTCATTGAGTCACATCTTGACAGTTAAAAGTTGTGGAAGTCTGCTGTGTTTGTGGTTATCAGGTTATTTTAGATCAAATTTTGTGTGGTTAAACCCTTAGAAAAAGAAATGTTATTGTTGTTAGTAACAGTCATAATGATAATATTAATACCAGTGTTAACAGAAGTTAAAGTATCGACAGACAGCAATAAGCACAATAAATACATCATAACAACATAGACATCTCAATAATTTAATTCTATAAAATTCAAAGTTGTATCAAACTGAAGTTGATGCACTTGTATAGTTAGTGTATACAACAATATAAAAAGGTGAAGGTTAAAAAATAGTTTCATGTTCTGATGACACGTTCACTTATCAAGTTTATCTTAGCCGAGGAACTAGCAAAAGTGGAAAAATCCTTGGGACAGAGAAATTAGTCATTTTCTGCTGTTACCATCAGTAAAAGACAAGTTCAAATACCGTTTTAAATGTCCTGTAGAATGCGGTTAGCTTAAAAGCACTGGTCTCACTAAAGTTACGATTACTGTCGACTAAATATGTCACACTTTAACTTTTTCTTAATATAACAGTCCTCACATAAACAACACGGTTCGGTCAAGAGTAAGTAGACTTCGGTCCTCCTCTCGAAATGCTCTCATGTGACCACACATTTTACAGCCTCTGCCAGGTAAATCCTATTCACCTCCTCCTTCACAAAGGGGAAGGGGTGAGTGCAAATATGTGGCTCTTCAAAATGGACTGGTGTACATGCAAATCTACCTAGGGAGCTGGATACCCCTGATTCTAAACCTCTGGCGTACTCGGGCTGCAGAATTCGAATGATGTATTAACGTGTTCTGGTCACTGACAACCATGGGAACGTAGCTCTTGACGCTGCCCCAATATCTTGTGGACCAGACTTCAAGTGGAAGACTCGGGAGGGAAGGTTGACTAACCCCTTAAGATAATCACTTACCTTCGTTTAGGCATCCGGGCAGTATCCCAGCCCTCGCACGAACTATAAGACTTCATGGCACATCCCTTGGTACCCGCAATGTACCAAGTGTTTTAGTTAGTAATGACTGACTGACTGGTTTCAACATAGGACTTTGCACCGTTATGCAGCAGTTCAAGTCGCCACACTCCATGTAGCACACAAAGCAAGGGAAGAAAGTAAAAAGAAATGCAAAATAGTGACAGTAAACACAGATTTGAGGCAAAAAGAATAGTAATATCGAAGAACAATATAGTTTTATTGGAGTCACACTGAGTGGATGCCAGCCATTGATAACGATTTTAAGCCATATCACCAATTGCCTCCAGCCTTCATTGGTTTTTACCGTCCCGAGGACCCCAACCAGGAAGTGTACACCTTCCTTCGTGGTTTGAACTAACTATTGTGGATTTCATTGGCTGATGAGGACATATCTTGGTTTGACCACCACTGTCTCTTTTCTAACCTGATCCTATGTCAGCTAACATTGCCTGTCGACGGAGGTGATGGCTAGGCAGGCATGCGTAACACTTGTCCTAACCATCTCAATCGATTTAACTTCACAACCTCGTCTATTGATTTCCCCTCTTTACCTAGTACTCGACCAAAGTCTAACCTCAGTATTGATCATCTTATTATACCACTTCACACGGGAGATAGAACGCAGACACTTATGATCAAAGACAGCTATCCTATTCATGTCTTTCATTTTCAATGGCTAAGTCTCACAGACATAAAGGAGGGGCGGAGCGGACTGCTGAGCAGTACACACGTCGATAGCCGGATATCACGTCTACGCGAGAGACGGCGTAAACTGGCATATGCGAAACTAGCCTTCTGTGTCCGTGCCGAGATTTCGTCAGCGATCAACTCGTTGGGGGTGATGCAACTTCTCAAATAAGTGAAGTAGTCAACGTGCTCTACCACTTCACTCCCTATTTCTATCTGAGTCCAGCTTTGATTTGGTGATTGAGGTAACCGGGTTACTCAGTGTCCCTCTTTGTGCCTAAAGCTAGTGCTGACTAGGAACAGATGATTATGTGAACAGAACAATAGTTCCAGCCAGTGTGGCTTGTTGGTTCATTGCGATATGCAAGTCCAACCACCACGTCAAGGTAGCAGTCATCGGTTGAGAATACTGGATAATATGTCAGTAGGTGTTCACCTATGCCTATGCCAAGCTATTTAGATGTTTGTCTCATGACTTCCTCCACAAAAGTAGCTAAACGTGTAATTAATAAAGCTTTAGCAGCTGCGTTCTATCAACTGGAAAGGAGCGATATTGTCTGTTTGTTTCATCTGTCTGGACAACTATCGACATAAGATAGTAGATACATCTCCGTTCATTGGAAGCTTCATGAGAATACATTTATCCGTTATGTTCGTACAAGCTTTGATTTTACATTTACGTCATCCTTAATATTGTACGACTCAATTTTAATTAGTTTCTTGACCTAATTTGCCCACTAAAATGTCTTCATCTTTATGCTGTTCTCATCATTCTTATTCTTTTACCATTACTTCAATAGCTATTTTTATTACTATCATCTGAATAAAAATAGTGCTTAACGTTTTAATCTTTTAATCACTATTGGCTAACAAAAGTTCTCTGTATATAGAACGATGCATATTACATTGAAGTCAAAGGCTTGTAACTTGACAAACAAATTTTTTATTTTATACCTCTTTTAAAGTGATCCTGATGTGATCTACAGATGTTCACTGGTTACTTTTTTCTGTTGGTATTTAACAATGCTTATACCTGTTAATATGGAGAATAAATTGCTTTATAAGGAAATACTGGCATACAATGTTTTGGTTATCGTGTGTGTACATCTAATTCAAATTATAAGGAATATATATGCAACCGATTTCCCTCATACTATCTTATCAAGTTAGTGAAATTGTTTGTTGAGTGAATTGACGCATTGTGTTGTAGTTCTGTTTATTTATTTATTTTCATTTCGGCTGGTGACATCGTAGTAATTGAATTTTACGGAAATTTATGACTTTTATCTTGATATGTGTGAAACCATCAGTGTTACATAAAATAAGATTTTAAAAGACTGACCTGTATCAACTGCACTTTAACGTGACTGTCGAACTTGCCCATTTAAATGAACATTCTTATTTAAACATATTGCAATTTATTTATGGAGTCACTGAATAGACCAGGAATTTCAGTTGAAAGAGAATGAGTTTAGAAGCAACTTATCTCACAGTTCAGTAACTGATGTCTTGTGGAATAATCAGGTGAGGTTATTTCCTAGTGGTAATTAGCATCTCCAGCTAAGCCATTCTTACCCTACATGAATGAAGAGTTAGAGAAAGTCAGCCTTGGAATTAGTATGTTTTTTGGGTGTTTTACTTTCTTCGACAGGTATATTTAAACAGAAGATTGGAAACAATAATAAAGACTAAGAGTACCAAATAGGATGGATAATACTGGTTAATTTTGATTCGACAATACACTCATCACACTGTTGTAAATAGTCGACGGAAAAAGGGGCTGAAAAATATCCTTTCCTCCCGGAACCTCTACTTGTACGCAAAATTAAAGCAGTTCAACGAAAACATAAAGACCGTATTTACTGAGAATATACGTAAACACTTCTGAAAGATGTCTGTCATCATATCCAGTCTTATAAAAACAGAGATGCAAAAAGTCGATAACATTAATTCGAAGGTCAGAAAGGGTTAATGAATGTCTACGTTTATATGTGAGCTAAACGACACAAGAAAACTCTTCTGTGACGGTTCTAAACAGTGAAAGGAGAGGAAGCGCAACAGTGGTTAGGACTCTCGCCGACCATGCACATGGTCCGGGGTTCGATCCCCTGCCGACGCACACCCGATATCTATGGTCGGCCTGCGAAATTTGGGCTACCGATATCCATGCTGAAAATTCCATACTTGTACTGAAAATACGGTGTGGCATCAAGCTGTAATCGAAAATAAAAATAAATAAAATAATAAAGCAGCTCTTGCAGTGTTATTTTAAAATTACGACGTTGCGGCATAAAGTAGAAGATATAAAATGGTGAGGATTATATTAGTTGGTCGCACTAAGTGAAGCAATATGTTAAGTAATAATGGGGTTAGGCGGAATGCGTAAGTCAGTCGAAGCGTCATTGATGGAGTGGGTCAGGTAGCGTGCTATGCATTTTGTGTCATTACTTTCGGCAATGCATTTGAATTAGAATTAGGTTGGAAAGGAGTGGGGCGTAGTCAGACTAAAACATGATCTCAATCCGTAAAGGCATTGACCGTTGTTCTGAGCCAAGCGTAGAAGTTTAGATCACCTGTGTCACGCCCTTCCAATGATAGAGAACCAGTTGTTTCCAACTATTAATAAGAAGCGGCTGCCGACCATTTACACTGTATCCAGTCCTTTTTCATCTTCCAGATTCTAAATAGCTTTACCAGTTTTTGATGAAGCATCCTCTTGGTCACTAACATATGTATCTAATATAGTAACATTCTGTCTCTCTTTTTATTTAAAGTGTGATAACTTAAACTGATGCACTCCTCCTCAAAGTTCTATGTCAGATACTGGGTTGACTGGTTGGTCGGGGTTCATCCTCACTGACTTATCAATGTAGAAAATTGCACCGCAGTACATCTGTTCAAGTTATCACACTGAGAAAAAGTACAAAAATGTAGAGGAAAGAAATATAATGCAACTACAATGGATGAAAGTATACAAGACAGAGAATACTTAGGGGAAGACTAGTCAGAATTTACAAAATCCTGGTGATAACAAGGAGTAAATGCATTTGCGTCACTGTAAACGACTTCGAGGTGTGCTACTGACCGTATTCAAGCACTGACTCCTATTATACCAAGGACCCCAAAGAAGCGGTCTCCATCTTTATCTGCGGCTCTAACCAAAAGTCCAAGACTTTATGAACTAGTGCCGTGCTTACTCTCTTCTAACCTAATCCTATTTCAGCAAAAATTATTGGTCGAGAATGGCAATCTCTCGGCCTGCCTTATACATGTGCATCTTAAATTAGTGTGGTTTACAACTTTGTTGATCAAATTTCTCTCCTCACCTAACACTGCACCTGACCTCATTATCACAGATCATAGAGAACACTGAAACCTATAATCAGAAATCGCTCGTATTTTCATATCTTCCTCTTTCAGCGGTCATATCCCTGTTGTAAAAAAAATGGGAGCGAACTGTTGCACAGTACAAGCATCGTTTGGTTGGTAGACAGTTGTCATGCCTGTGCCAAAGTTGACACAAGTTGATAAATGCCAAAGGGTTTGGGTTCACATATGACAGGTGATACTGCATACAGTGACTTTTGGAAGACAAGAATAATATCTCGGGAATGTAGCAAAGGTCCAACAAATACTAACCGACTAAGCACGATTGATTATGGTTTGTGTACAGTCGCGCAGTAGCAAGATAATATCTGCACACTCATGGTCGAATAGTTTCTATCAAAGCAATGTACCTACACGTTTAATACATTCTGCAAAACTGTCTTAAAAATGTTGTCGTTGGGCAAGTTGAAAAGAAACATCGAAGTCGAACAACTCTGTCTTACCCGACTGTTGATTCAAAACGAAGGTATTCTTTACTTTGCCTTGGCTGTTTTCGCACAGGGCTTCTAACATATTGGTAGACTTTTTAATTATATCCTCTAACAAAATGTCTCAAAGGGCAACAGAGGAATGTTGCTAACACATTACTTATTTATTTATGAAGTGAAAAGAAGAATTTATTTCTCGTCAACTAATTTTTATGCATTTGGGAACTTCTGTTAAGCATAACGACAATGTTGTATATGTTGTCGGTGAAAAAAACTGTTATCCCAATGAGTCACACGATTTGTGTAAACTCAGTGTTGGATTGGCCGAGCGGTCTAAGGCGCTGGCTTAAGGCACCAGTCCGAAAGGGCGTGTGTTCGAATCCCACCTCCATCACGAGTTTTGTGTGCGTCGGTGGCACAGTGGTTAGGACTCTCACCGATCATGCACATGGTCCGAGGTTCGATCCCCTGCCGACGCACACACGATATCTATGGTCGGCCTGAATTTGGGCTACCGATATCCATGCTGAAAATTCCATACTTGTACTGAAAATACGGTGTGGCATCAAGCTGTAGTAAAAAAAGGATGAAACATGTGTTTTTTCACGCATTATCAAACAGCCTAGTTGGCTCCCAGAATGAATTTTTAAAAAGCCATTGTTTTTGTCTTGGATCACACACTAGTGTTTGAGCTCTATCCAGACTTTTGAATAGATCGTTTCTCATGAAGCCCCATATCTTAGTTTAATTAGCATTGGTAGGCCAGTTTGTTTTTCAAAGTGTCATGTGTCCAGTTCAAGGTACTTTTGATAGTTGCCTCGTATACTATCTCATTAACACATTTAGCTTCCTGTTGCTGGTTGTTCAGTTAGAGCGAAACAACTGTCGCCAGATTCATTCATTGGTTTCGTCGCATTCGTGCGGTGAGTTGTAGACTTTGCAATTCTTCCTTAAGTTGTACAGTTCCCCTGTTTAGGGTCTTGTGTAGACTGATGTATCAGTCGTGTTGTCGCGATGATATTAAGTTAAAAAGAATTCAAATCTTTGTGTTTATTGGTGGGACGCTTTTCCATGCCATAATCTTGTATGTGCAACCCATTTTGTTCAGTGTCTCTTGGGTGTCATTAGCTAACCTCATACTTGGCCCAGTTTAATATTTAATTTACTTGTTTACGGCAACCACTGACTGTTCAAAAAGGTAGGTTTAGCATACAAGCGTGATTTTAGTCCAAGAAACTGCAGCAGTAAAAGATGAAGTTCTATGTGTACTCTTGATTTTGGCAGTACAGTCGATTTGAGTTTAAATTTGAGTAGCTTTACCGAAAGAAAACAGCAGGAGATGGTCTCTCATTGGACCTGTTGTCAATTAGTTTCCATTGAGCATCCTAACGGCCTCTGGTGGACCTAGACCTCACACTGTGTGTGGTGCTCATCCTGGTAGATGCAGTGTGTTCCAGGCAGCTGATTCCTGTGGCAAGACATCCGACTGAGGATTCTATTCATTGATCCCAACAACTAGTTTTCCTTCTAAATGGATATCCAACTGGTGTTTGGAATTTAATTTGGGTGCTTGTGTTTGCAGTCTCATGCTCTTATGCGTGGGTTTGATGTGCACATTCAACTTATGCCTTTCACATATTATTAATGCTGAGTAAATACATTTCTCAGTTCATCCTATAAGTGAAACCCCACAAGCTTAGAATGCAAACATATTACTACTGGAAGTAAAGTTAATTACACTTAGACTGACAGGAATAACTATTAAAATAAGTGGAATGTATGAAGTTTTCAAATGTAACTGTGATTAGAAGTCTACTAGATAAAGAAGAATGATTCAGTAATTCATGTGTGCACTAAATGTCTCTGTGAATGAACGTCCACATATCACCATAGTTACCATCCGGCGAGTTATTGATTCACTACTACTGTACTCGATGTTAGTCGCCCGTATTGATTTAATTTCTTGTGTTACTAAGATTTCGCATTCATCGGGATGTTTATTTGTAGGTTCTCAAACTTTTGGAAATAATTTTACAAAAAACAAAAAACAACTTACGATATTTGGTTTGTGGAAACATACCATCTCTTTATTCTGTGATGCTAATGTGAGTGATACTCCTTTTGTTATTTTATTTATTACGGTAAAAATTTTGTCCTTTACTGAATTCAACTTAGGTGATATATTTAACAGTGAACTAACCAATTATACTGAGAAACGTACAGGTTACAGCACCGATAACTTTTATTAATAATAATAATAATAATAATTTGCTTTATTCCAAAACAGTACTTGTGATACAGAATGCAATTCTCAGCATTTTTACTACAGTATTGCATCCAGTTAGTACATTATCAATAAATAGAATTCTACATAGATTAAGGAAATCTCAGTTCATTATGACAACAACATATTGGGATGTCGGTAGCAAAGTCAACCCTGAACAGTGTTTGAAGGTGTTAGAAAAGTAGGTGCTGCCATATTTACTGGCGTAAGCGAGAAAAAGAAACAAAGCAGCACATAACGGAAATAAAAAGAAAAAGACAGAGAGACAAAAGGAAAAGAGAGAAAATGTTGTACCTATAAATGATATGAGTTGGAAAGACGAGGTCCAGTTGCTCTACTGACTATTTAATAAGTTATAGGTATCACGCTTAATGCTTTCTTTATCGCACAAAACACGAGCTAAGTAGGGTATGGTTGAGTTTTTGTGCTTGCGAGTACGAGCATATAGTTTGCTCTATAGGCTTCTGGTTCTGCCTGATGAGATACAAGGGGAGAGTTGTGAATGAAGAGAGTGGTGTGAGTTAGACAGAATGGATTTAGCCCATTTTTCATATGAGTCCAAGTGCCTGTCGACCAGAACATTAACAAGCTGGTTAAGTGGCACGTTGCTTACCCTGCTGACAACCTTTAACATCCTGCGTAATAAGGTATTTTCTTTCTTCATTAGCCTTGGAAAAGCTAAGTGGGAACAATAGAGAATAATAGGTAGGATGCAAGAGTTAACGAATCGTAGGAGTAAGGGTTGGGTTATTCCAGAATGTCTTAACTTCTTGATGTAGAAGGTAAGACGAAATATTTTCTTAGAAATCATCAAGATATGAGACGACCAGGAAAGATCAGCAGATAGAATGACGCCAAGATATTTAATTTCCGACTTGATTTCTATTTCAGTGCCATCTATGTTGCACACCTCGTGAGTGCTAACCAGTTTGTTTAGGTCGGATTTATGCCTAAAGGTGAAATTGACTGTTTGACATTTAGAGGGGTTTAAGGTTAGACAATTTTCCTTGGACCACTGGCTGATTTCTGATAAAAAGCCATTTAGTTTGGAGCAGTTACTTTGACATTTGACAGGCAAAGATACAATCGGGTCGTCAGCATATTTGACAAAATTAATGTCATTTGAAGATGGTGAGTCGTGTAGAAAGAAAGAAAAGAGAAGTGGTGGGAGTACAGTACCTTGAGGGACACCAGCTCCAGTGAGCACAGCGGAGGAGGATTCCCCTTTGTATACAGTGTACTGCATTCTGTTTGAGAATTAGGAATGCAACCAGTTTGTGACCCAGGACTCAGTTTGTGTCATCGAGGGCTTATTTAGCAAGATACATCTAGGTGCAGAGTCGAAAGCAGAAGTGAAGTCGAGAAACGTGCAGCGAAAGTATTTGGCACCTTTATCTAATGATGAGACGATACTGTTGTGTAAGACGGCTGCAGCGTCTAAATTGTTCCTACCCTGCCTGTATGCAAACTATTTGGGGTCTTCAAAACTTTTAAGGGAGGGTACAAGTTTAAGAAGTACTAGTTTTTCCAAACGCTTTAGAAACGGGGAAGTAATGGCAACGGGTGTGAAGTTTACGTTCTTGATATTACCAGGTTTAGGGACAGGAACAATTTTAATGACTTTCCATGCAAGAGGTACAACGTTTTTGGAAAAAGAAGCATTTAGGATGTTAATAAGAGGAGAACATAAAGTATCTGCACATTGTTTTAGAACATATGCAGGTATACCATCAGGGCCAAGGCTACGTGAGGGCTTGAGCATTTTAAGACATTTTAGAACATCGAGAGCATTAAAGTCATGAAAGTCTTCAGCTACATGAATTGTAACATTAGAAGTAGTTATAGTAGAAGGATCAGCGTATAAAAGACTGATTAAGAGCATTAACATCATAAGAGGGAAAAGCATTGCAACGCTTACTTTGACGTCTTTTAGAAATAATCACAAGTTTACCTCTGAGCAATTGAATATGTTGCTCAATAACATGGTTTAACTTCTACTTAAAAAGATCCGAAACAGTTTATAATAAACTCTGAGAAGTATTAATAGTCGTTTTGTATTTGTAAAGGTCAGTCATGTACCTATGGAGAACTGTTTTATTTTCGTTCCACTAATGGCAGAGAGTTGAACGCTTATTCTGCTAAGCTGGTCGCAGATATTTTTATCAGTAATATTCTGAACATTTTAGCAAGTTGTTTAATACCTGAAATCTTCAGTTATGTATTACTAGGTAAAAATAGTGAGTAACTAAAGTAACTATCTGTGGGCCAGGTGCTACTTATTCTGACATTGCCTATCTCAAAACTTCCTCCTCTCGCACAATTTTACTCATTATGGTTCTTTTGAATTTCCGTTTTTTTTTTCTGCCTTTGTATGCTGCATGGAGTAGGGAACCTTGGACTTCTTCACTCTTGTGCAAAGTTCTACGTTGAAACCCACTTAGTCTACACATCTGTCACTAGCAATATGGGTCGTTAAATCGCGTAATGCGTTCCTTATGACTAAGTTCAGACAGGTTCTCATTTCGACTTAAAGTCACACTGAACTGACCTACTTTTTTGTAGTTGTCCACCTCTACTGTTTGTTCCACCGGTGATTATCGACCGCACACACGCTTTTCATATCACAGAAACCTTCCGAAAGTCATATGTGATGTCCACATTCGTTTCCTTTTTGCTCTTTTCTACCTCTTTTAGTTACCAGTATCCTATAGTCATCTAAGTTTTTCTTAGCGTACAGTCGTTCCAACTGGTGAGTTATATTCACTGTTCCTACCAAACTAATCTGCTATTTCTTTTGTTAGTTCTCACCGTCCACCCCTCGTCAAATTGGACAATAGTCTTCGGTGACAGTTTTTGTGTGGTATGTGTATGCTGCATTTAAGACATACATATGTGACACCGATGTGTATTTCCTTTCAGATGTAAATGGTCTCTTTCAACTTTTCGTTTTCTAGTGCTTGGCGAAGTGATTCAATGCATTGACTAATTCTTTGTTTTGATAGTTTCATTAGCCTCTATGACTAGTTGCTGACGAAGTCAGTCTTGAAGCTGAAGTGTATTTGATGCTTGTCACTGTTTACATTTTAATTAGCTTGAGAGGTGTAGCAAGAATGCTGTGAAAAATTGTATGCTTTATATTATTATTATTGTTCCCTTGGGTTCCTAGTGGAACATAGGGCTTCTACTGCACGTCTCCACTTGCTTCTGTCGTACTTTTCACCTGCATCCATGTTTTTTCTTCACTGTTTCAACTCCTCTTCACACGATCTCCTCCATGTCGCCCTGCGACGTCCCACTCACAAATTCCCTTTCGGGTTCCACTCGAGGGCCTGACGTGTGATGTCGCCCAGCGGCCTCCTCAGCGAGTGTCCAATCCATCTCCACTTCCTCCTGCATATTTGTTGGGCGATTGGTTCTTGTTTTGTTTGTTACCATAGCTTCTTGTTTGTTCTTGTTCTTTCCGGCCATCTGATCTTCAGTATAGAGCGAAGACAGTTGTTGTGGATAATGGTCTGCAACAGGCTGTTGGAAATATTCTTTGTGACCCGCCAAGTTTCTGATTCGTATAGAAGAACTGACTGACTTGACGTTTGTATTGAAAATCCGAATTTTGTTGTTGAGCGTGGCTGAGTGACGAAGATTTCCAGATTGGTTTCAGGTTGATGAATGTATTTCTCGCCTTCCCGATTCTCGATTTGACATCCTCGTCCGTTCCTCCTGTAGTTGAGATAACGCTCCCTAGATAAGTGAATGAAGTAACCTCTTTCAAATCCCTCCCGTTGATGGCGCTGGATGTTACTGCTGTTGTTGTTGTTGGTTGATTATTTTCATAACCTCCGTCTTGTCTATGTTCACCTGGAGTCCTGTCTTCACCGGCTGCTTCTTCGACCAGTTTGTGGGTTTTAGCTTGTGAGTCTTCGATTTTGTGTGACATCAAACATAAATCATCCGCGAAATCCAGGTCTTCTAGGTTCTTCACGGTGGTCCAGGATATTCCTGTCTTCTCGTTTCTCACTGTCTGACGCATAATCCAGCCCACCACAATTAGGAATATCATTGGTGATAATAAGCACCCTTGTCTGACTTCTTTGTTTACTCCAAACGCCTCGCTGAGTTTTCCATTGTGGATCACTTGACATGTGCCGTTGTCGTACATCCGTTGAATAAGGTTGATGAATACTTGGGGTACACCGTAGTACTCGAGTAGTTTTTATTATTTGTGAAAAGTTCCTTCCAATTAATATTTTAATTATCTCATTCCCACAAGTGTATTGTAATTCCCAAGTTGTATTCTTATATCACTGATAGGATTCCATCATAGTTGGTTGATTTAGCATAGCATACCCTTGTTTAGGATTATTCACACTGTTCAGTGTTCCGAGAGCGATTCATTGCTCATATTCAGGTTGAAGTAAGCGTATAACTTTCAGAGTCTATTTCTATAGTTCTTCTAGTGTTTCAATCGTTCATTTTTAGTGGTAGCAGAATTTCTCAGACATCTGCGGTGAGTGCTGAATAACTCCGATCGCAAACATTCAACAATCAGTTGGGTAACTTCAACTTTTCCTAAAACTTCATAGCTGTCACCTTATCTCAATACCCTACCATGAGCTTCTTATTAAGTCACCAGCATTTTAAGGACTACGTTATGCTAATCTTTTGGTATTCAGATATTCTGACTCACAACTACTTTTACCTAAATACTTGACCTCACAGTCAGTCATATACGTTAAACAGGGGAAAATACAATGCCAAAGTGATGCATAGATTCACATAGAAATCATTTCATTAGCCTGGGTTTTAAATAACTCCAACCTTTGGATAATTGTGTGCGGAGATCAAATGCCTAAATAATGAATTAGCCTAGTGTGTTTATCACATTACACGTCAAAGGTTAATCTAATGAGAAAATGTATCGTACTTTCTAAAGTGCCTCATGTGGGGGAGAGGGGATTTAATAGTGGTAGAAGTGAACATCTACGTTCTTTTTTGTAATAAGTTGAATTAAGTAATTACAGTCAAATAGTCCTTACTTTCGAATGCACAACATAGTTGAAATTAAAATTGAAAAAAAAACTCCAGTACGAATGGTAATTTTGTCGACTGCAAAGAGGCATGCTGTCAGGATATATATATATATATATATATGTTTCAGAAAATGTCTTCAAAATAATAGATTAAAATCTTCAATCATTAGGCCAAAAAGCGCCCAGATATTCGTGTTGCTCTTTGCCTGTCGATGACTGATGTGTATTTCATAGCTACTTTACGTCAATAACCGCCTATAGCTGCGACCACCAACCCTGTTAAAATGACTTTCGATTGCTTTAGCTAATAATCTACTGAAACATATATCCTTAAATTACCAATTATTCATTACTTTCATTCCTACCAGAAACAGGACTGTGAAGAAGATTGGTACTTCCCGTCGATGAATATTTTCGTGAATAAGAATAATCGACCATGGTCAATACTTCTGTTCATTACATATATCATCTTCACATTTTATACCATGAATTTAGCACTAACTTCTGTGTGCACACCGAAAGTATACTTCGACTGGTTTCTGCTTCCAAACGATTGCTCATATATTTATGATGTCTACAGGTAAGCCATTCCTTAAGCATGCAAACTCCTTCTTAACCAAATCTCGAAGTAATCCTGAAACAGAAGATACGCACTTTACCCGTCATTTTTATCAGAGAATAGACTAGGTTTGCATATACTCATAGTTGGATACCGTGAGCAGTTATACTGCGATTATTAAGTCGTTAATTTTAAACAATGAAGCAGTTTAATTGGTGCATGGTGACTTGCTGTGATGGTATCCCCGCCGAGGCTCGAACCCAGTGTCCATAGTTTCAAACGCCAAAGCGTTATCCACTAGACCACTTGGGCCACGAGAGCCCAAATAGGACGAAATGCGCATCCTGGATTCCACTGCTAGTCACCATCCACCAATTAAACACTAACTAAATGCCCAGACACCGTCGAAGCATCTGCACAAAGAGTTGACATGTCAGCTTGAGATCGAGCACTTCGGGCCAATCGATCGACGGGAAAATATCAAATTGAATGAGGTAGTCTGTTTGCATACTCAGTTAGAAAGTGCACAAAATAAGCTATTTTTCGTAAGCAGAAAGACTACATTACATTATAATATATGATGATGATAATGCAGCATTACCAGTGACACGAAAATCATCCCATTGAAGTGTTTCCATAGGCATTTTACAAGAATTGTGTGACAAATGATTTTGTAGACACGATTAAAACGAAACTCGTTCTTCCCAATAACCCATCAGCCATAACTACACTAGGTGAGTGGACACTGCATATGTCACCTCTCATGTAAGTGACACGTATAAACTCACACATGTATTCATACGTGTACTAACAACTTTAGAGGTTTTAATAAGAACAATTCTTTTTGTAATTTTAGCAGAGCCTGGGTATTTGTTGGTGCACTTTTATGGCTGATCAGTTCTCTCATACCTTTCAGCCTTTTAATTAATGAAATCGCAGTTTTCATACAAAGTCGTTTGCAGAAATCGTAACAGTAATGGCAGCTATTCTTTTCCTGAATACGTGCGCATAAAGTCAAGGTCTTGAAGTAACGTGTGAGCATGTTTTCGAAACATCCAAAAAATTAAAATCTGTGATCCCAACCGTTATTTTGTATTCGGTGGTACTTTAAATTGTAATATACCCACAAAAATTGACTTTTTAAAACTATATAAACTAATAATGTAAAGATGCTCCGAAAGGTGTTTCATAATAAAGCAACCATACAAAAAAATTCCACCTTCTGAAATAACAATTCCCTCCCATTGAACTATCGAAAACATTCAAAAGCCAAAATTCTACCAATGTCGCAATTACAAAAAAAAAACACTATCAAAGCAAATACAATAAAGTCAATAGACAGAATAATATTAATATTTAAGCATACGTAGAAATTTGTCAGTATTGGATTAAGGTGAACTGTGGGTTTCTGTGATCGATTAGTTGTCTTTTGATGTTGGTGTTGTTGTGGCTGCTGGCGCTGGTGCTGGTGCTAGTGCTGGTGCTTGTGGTTGTGGTTGTGCTGTTGCTGTCGCTGTTGTTTGTATTGAGCAAGGCTTTGAGTCATCTGACTGACCCCCAGAGAAATGCCCATCTACATTAGTCAGTAGTCAGAGGGATAGTGAAGTGATGCTTGCTATATGGTGACGACGACTGGGTCGGGATGCATAACATACACGATTGTCAATTTAGTCGGTGACGGTCAACAAACTTATCAACTGATCAGCTTGTTTAGCCCGATATTCCACGTCTAGCCTACACCTTGTTTATATGCTGATTTCATTTCACACAGGCTGTGGTGTCTTGATGACACTGGCTGGAAGTCCTCGCCAACTCTGCACACTTAGAATAATGTCTGCTCGTCAGTCGAATATTTTGCTTAGAATGCCTTAAGATGCAGACATCAGGGGAAGACGACGAGTGACGAGTCAAGTGAAGAAGCTTGTATGACTTGTGGTGGATTTCAGTGGACCCGATGCCGGCTAGATGTGATTCCGAGTGGCAAATAAGTGACATCTATCTACTCGAAGAATCCTCTTTGTTATGTCGAATGATGGATGCATCTGTGCAGACCAGTACTCAGTCAACAATATCTGTCTGGTAGACTGAGTCGTCTTCCAGTCTGTGATTAGCGCCACACTGGAGATTGAGATGACAGTGAGCCTGCAGGATAATTTTCACATTTAGCCTGTCATTCTTCTCAGAGAATCAATTGACTAGGATGCACATATTCATAGTTGGCCACCGTGAGCAATACTGCGTCAGTGAATACACTACAGTCAATAGACAGAATAATATTAATATTTAAGCATACGTAGAAATTTGTCAGTATTGGATTAAGGTGAACTGTGGGTTTCTGTGATCGATTAGTTGTCTTTTGATGTTGGTGTTGTTGTGGCTGCTGGCGCTGGTGCTGGTGCTTGTGGTTGTGGTTGTGCTGGTGCTGTCGCTGTCGCTGTTGTTTGTATTGAGCAAGGCTTTGAGTCATCTGACTGACCCCCAGAGAAATGCCCATCTACATTAGTCAGTAGTCAGAGGGATAGTGAAGTGATGCTTGCTATATGGTGACGACGACTGGGTCGGGATGCATAACATACACGATTGTCAATTTAGTCGATGACGGTCAACAAACTTATCAACTGATCAGCTTGTTTAGCCCGATATTCCACGTCTAGCCTACACCTTGTCTATATGCTGATTTCATTTCACGTAGGCTGTGGTGTCTTGATGACACTGGCTGGAAGTCCTCGCCAACTCTGCACACTTAGAATAATGTCTGCTCGTCAGTCGAATATTTTGCTTAGAATGCCTTAAGATGCAGACATCAGGGGAAGACGACGAGTGACGAGTCAAGTGAAGAAGCTTGTATGACTTGTGGTGGATTTCAGTGGACCCGATGCCGGCTGGATGTGATTCCGAGTGGCAAATAAGTGACATCTATCTACTCGAAGAATCCTCTTTGTTATGTCGAATGATGGATGCATCTGTGCAGACCAGCAGTACTCAGTCAACAATATCTGTCTGGTAGACTGAGTCGTCTTCCAGTCTGTGATTAGCGCCACACTGGAGATTGAGATGACAGTGAGCCTGCAGGATAATTTTCACATTTAGCCTGTCATTCTTCTCAGAGAATCAATTGACTAGGATGCACATATTCATAGTTGGCCACCGTGAGCAATACTGCGTCAGTGAATACACTACAGTCAATAGACAGAATAATATTAATATTTAAGCATACGTAGAAATTTGTCAGTATTGGATTAAGGTGAACTGTGGGTTTCTGTGATCGATTAGTTGTCTTTTGATGTTGGTGTTGTTGTGGCTGCTGGCGCTGGTGCTGGTGCTGGTGCTGGTGCTTGTGGTTGTGGTTGTGCTGGTGCTGTGCTGTCGCTGTTGTTTGTATTGAGCAAGGCTTTGAGTCATCTGACTGACCCCCAGAGAAATGCCCATCTACATTAGTCAGTAGTCAGAGGGATAGTGAAGTGATGCTTGCTATATGGTGACGACGACTGGGTCGGGATGCATAACATACACGATTGTCAATTTAGTCGGTGACGGTCAACAAACTTATCAACTGATCAGCTTGTTTAGCCCGATATTCCACGTCTAGCCTACACCTTGTTTATATGCTGATTTCATTTCACGTAGGCTGTGGTGTCTTGATGACACTGGCTGGAAGTCCTCGCCAACTCTGCACACTTAGAATAATGTCTGCTCGTCAGTCGAATATTTTGCTTAGAATGCCTTAAGATGCAGACATCAGGGGAAGACGACGAGTGACGAGTCAAGTGAAGAAGCTTGTATGACTTGTGGTGGATTTCAGTGGACCCGATGCCGGCTGGATGTGATTCCGAGTGGCAAATAAGTGACATCTATCTACTCGAAGAATCCTCTTTGTTATGTCGAATGATGGATGCATCTGTGCAGACAGCAGTACTCAGTCAACAATATCTGTCTGGTAGACTGAGTCGTCTTCCAGTCTGTGATTAGCGCCACACTGGAGATTGAGATGACAGTGAGCCTGCAGGATAATTTTCACATTTAGCCTGTCATTCTTCTCAGAGAATCAATTGACTAGGATGCACATATTCATAGTTGGCCACCGTGAGCAATACTGCGTCAGTGAATACACTACAGTCAATAGACAGAATAATATTAATATTTAAGCATACGTAGAAATTTGTCAGTATTGGATTAAGGTGAACTGTGGGTTTCTGTGATCGATTAGTTGTCTTTTGATGTTGGTGTTGTTGTGGCTGCTGGCGCTGGTGCTGGTGCTTGTGGTTGTGGTTGTGCTGGTGCTGTCGCTGTCGCTGTTGTTTGTATTGAGCAAGGCTTTGAGTCATCTGACTGACCCCCAGAGAAATGCCCATCTACATTAGTCAGTAGTCAGAGGGATAGTGAAGTGATGCTTGCTATATGGTGACGACGACTGGGTCGGGATGCATAACATACACGATTGTCAATTTAGTCGATGACGGTCAACAAACTTATCAACTGATCAGCTTGTTTAGCCCGATATTCCACGTCTAGCCTACACCTTGTTTATATGCTGATTTCATTTCACATAGGCTGTGGTGTCTTGATGACACTGGCTGGAAGTCCTCGCCAACTCTGCACACTTAGAATAATGTCTGCTCGTCAGTCGAATATTTTGCTTAGGATGCCTTAAGATGCAGACATCAGGGGAAGACGACGAGTGACGAGTCAAGTGAAGAAGCTTGTATGACTTGTGGTGGATTTCAGTGGACCCGATGCCGGCTAGATGTGATTCCGAGTGGCAAATAAGTGACATCTATCTACTCGAAGAATCCTCTTTGTTATGTCGAATGATGGATGCATCTGTGCAGACCAGCAGTACTCAGTCAACAATATCTGTCTGGTAGACTGAGTCGTCTTCCAGTCTGTGATTAGCGCCACACTGGAGATTGAGATGACAGTGAGCCTGCAGGATAATTTTCACATTTAGCCTGTCATTCTTCTCAGAGAATCAATTGACTAGGATGCACATATTCATAGTTGGCCACCGTGAGCAATACTGCGTCAGTGAATACACTACAGTCAATAGACAGAATAATATTAATATTTAAGCATACGTAGAAATTTGTCAGTATTGGATTAAGGTGAACTGTGGGTTTCTGTGATCGATTAGTTGTCTTTTGATGTTGGTGTTGTTGTGGCTGCTGGCGCTGGTGCTGGTGCTAGTGCTGGTGCTTGTGGTTGTGGTTGTGCTGGTGCTGTCGCTGTCGCTGTTGTTTGTATTGAGCAAGGCTTTGAGTCATCTGACTGACCCCCAGAGAAATGCCCATCTACATTAGTCAGTAGTCAGAGGGATAGTGAAGTGATGCTTGCTATATGGTGACGACGACTGGGTCGGGATGCATAACATACACGATTGTCAATTTAGTCGATGACGGTCAACAAACTTATCAACTGATCAGCTTGTTTAGCCCGATATTCCACGTCTAGCCTACACCTTGTCTATATGCTGATTTCATTTCACGTAGGCTGTGGTGTCTTGATGACACTGGCTGGAAGTCCTCGCCAACTCTGCACACTTAGAATAATGTCTGCTCGTCAGTCGAATATTTTGCTTAGAATGCCTTAAGATGCAGACATCAGGGGAAGACGACGAGTGACGAGTCAAGTGAAGAAGCTTGTATGACTTGTGGTGGATTTCAGTGGACCCGATGCCGGCTGGATGTGATTCCGAGTGGCAAATAAGTGACATCTATCTACTCGAAGAATCCTCTTTGTTATGTCGAATGATGGATGCATCTGTGCAGACCAGCAGTACTCAGTCAACAATATCTGTCTGGTAGACTGAGTCGTCTTCCAGTCTGTGATTAGCGCCACACTGGAGATTGAGATGACAGTGAGCCTGCAGGATAATTTTCACATTTAGCCTGTCATTCTTCTCAGAGAATCAATTGACTAGGATGCACATATTCATAGTTGGCCACCGTGAGCAATACTGCGTCAGTGAATACAC